ATACACAAAGAATTCTAAGTCAGCATACCATAGAAATACTCACTCACGTGCATTCATATGTATTTATATGAATATCTATTTGCACAGAAAATACAAATGTATAGGAACAAAAAGGGAGGAAGGAACTAGGGTCAAGAGAGGGGTGAGGAATCACAAAAGTACATTGTATATACCCCCTAAAAAATCATATGAAATCTATTATTTTGTACAATGAATATACACTAACAAATGTGAGTGCTCAAATTACTAGAGAAATTTGCCACTATTAGTGTTTTATTTTTTATCACATCGTTCCTTCTTTTCCCTAAGCAACCATGTACGTATAAACGCGTGTCAGGTTTAGTGGGTTTTTCTCTCCAGGCTGGGGACCAGTACCACCCACCACCTTTTACATGTTAGGCAAGCATAGAACCACTGAGTTCTATTCAGGTACTTTGTATAGTTTTAGTTTGAGGCAGTGTCCTATTAAGTGGCCCAGGCAGGCCTTGAACTGACAATCCTCCTACCTCAGCCTTCCAAGTAGTGGTAACTATAGGCCTGTGCCACCAGGCACATCTGATGGATTTTGTCACACAACTCAAGAGCACCGCTTTGTAAAGACGTATCTACTCATTTGTATTCTCTTGTCACACGTTCTTGGCAAGTATCCCTGTTGATTACTGTTAAAAATAGACCTGGGAAGCACCCAGGGACATCTATACCAGTCACTGAGGGCTGAAAAGGAGGGTCAGTATCAAGTTCACCTGTATCAAGTTAAACAAAGAGGGATTCTCACTTTAAGTAGCAGTCCTTTGGAAAGTCCTCCTAGCATAATAACAAAACAGAAAATCTGCTGGTTTCCAGGAGTGAGAAAACCCTCCCTGGCCACTTTCACTAGTTACTCATAATAAAGTTGGCAATGACTACTGACATTATTTGAGTCCATAATATTATAAAGGGTTTAAATACACGTAAGAAGATTTAGTCAAGTTAAAAAGATAAGTAGTTCTCTTAAACACAGAAAAAGAAAATATATTCTAACACAGATACAAACTTCATCTCATGGAAAATGGGGGTGGGGAAGGGGAGGATAGACAAGTATTTATCTACAATCCTGACTAAATGAACACACACAGAGAGAGAAAGAGAGAGAGAGAGAGAAGCTGATCTGGATGGTTTTTTTGTTGTTGTTGTTTAAATAGATAACCAAGTGCACATACTTGACTAAATGCATGTACACCAGTCACATCCATGTAATTAGCAAGTGTCTGACCTCACATAGCTGTCATGTTTGTGGTGCAGGCACAAACCATCCACTTGACATTGCTTCTCTTGCTACACACTAGATCACTTGACATTTAATCCTCCTATCTAACGGCAATTAGCTCCCTTCCAGAATTGGAACCTGATCAGCTGTAGCTGGACATACGACTGCATCAATATATCCTGCCCCAAACCTGCTCTCCACCTCATTTTCCTTCTACCGCTTGGAACTAGTCCATTACAAACCAGTGAAAGCTGCCATGGGTGTCTTAGGGAGTTACAGAGCAAGGCTAGCATTTGCTTATTGGTGTTCAGCACTTGGGAAGAGAAGACTGGCATTAGCCCTACTTTTAAGCTACACAGAAAACAATTTAACAGAAAAAGACCTAAATACGTCTCTATAGACAGTAACTAGAAGGAGTGGACCCACATTCAATGCCTGATCTGCAGTCAGTATGGCTGGCAGTTATTTTAATCAGCTCTCTAGCACCAGGTTTGAATTAAACCTACTGTTCTCCATCACCCATTCTCAATGTCACATATAAGCCAATGCTAACATTTAAACTGGGTTACTTCCTTTCAATGGATTTGGATTTATACATTGTTGCACTAGAAAATATTCCTGAGCATAGAGTCAGCACCCAACACACTCACCCAGGACTTTCCTAGTGGGTTTTGCAAATTCAACTCCTTCCCCATTGGCGTGGTGTCTCCACGTATTTGCTTGACCATTGGAACCATGACACTGTTAGCCTCTGCTTGGAGGGGCTCACAAAATTTAACCAGCAATCAGTTGGATCAAACAGAACAGTATCATCAAATGAGCAGCCAGGGTGTTTGGACTGCCATTTGAGAAGGCTGAAAAAGGACACCAGGAGAGTCGCTAATTAACTCTTCTCCGCCCCATCAGCCCCAAATGTTTCAAACTGTAGCAGAGCTGGGAACACAGCTTTGACATTGTTGAGATAATGATTTGATTTGCTCCCAAAATTCTGGGAAAGCTGCTGCCAGTCTATCTGGTGAGAACCATCTGTGCCCTGTTCTCAGAGCCAGACACAAGACTGCTAGCAAGTCGGAGAACACTTCCTTGTCACTTCCCAAGACTGGCAGTCAAGGGGCCACACACTAAGGCCTCGTCAACCTCTCAGTGAATTATCTGCTGCTTTTGATGAATCCAAAGCAATGTCTCTGGGTTGCCAAAGTAGAATGTGCTGACTAACCCATATTATTAAAAGTGCCTGCAGACAGGAATGTAGCCGCACAGAATATCTCCCACTGTGTACGTGTGGGGTGTGAATGGCTACAGGAGACTGACCAGTGAGGAACTCCTACCTGGTGACAAAGACACAGAGCCTGGGAACACCCAGCCACAGGTCAGGGAAGAAGGGTGACAACTGCTACAATCTGCAAAGACATGGGCCACTGTTCTCAGGTGTGCCTCCAGACCCATCTTCCTCACAACTAAAATCTTAAAAAGGTCTGTCCACATGGCCTTTCTCTACCTTTGCATAAGTGTCATTTGGCGTAAGATAAAAAATGGTGTCTGGGCTTTAGTTTACAGATTGAACAAGTGCACCCTGCTATGGTGGCGTATAGGAACTCAAGTTTCATCCATGATGTCCACTCACCAAGCTATGCACCCAGGAACTGTGTCCATCCAGAAGGGGCACACTTCTCCTGGTCCCCAGAAGCCCCTCTCCAGGCCAGAGGAAGTACTATGTTTGTACAGTGCTCCTGACTCTCCATTCTGGGCCAACCGGGCAATCACTCAATTTCTTACATGGTTCTTATTGCCAAATCCAGCAGAAATGACTCAATTCTCACTGTTCCGCAGAATCTGACGCTAGCAATTGCTCCCTCTTGGAAATGGTCCTCTAAGCTGCTCCATCCTCCCTGCTATCACCCTCCGCCTCCCTTGCACGCTGTTCCTGGGGCTTCCGTCTCAGCTTTTTCTATAACCAGGTGATACTACCTCATAAATGCACTACCATCTATGTAAAGAGCCACGGAGCTCAATTCCTTCTCCTTTCCAACTAGTAGTCTCCTTTAGCAGTGTCCCCCCACCCCCACCCCATCCACAACTAATAAATAAGCTCATTGTCCCCACCAACATCCCAGGACTTTCCTTACTTTGCATCCGGTTGCTGTCACCTGAGCCAGCCTGACCTTGACCCTTCTCTCCACGTTCCACCAACTCAGACAGTCGACTCCTAAACTCTTTCACTTTCCTCCAGCCCAGCCATAGGCTGGGCTAGCCTCTCACTCACTTGGGTATATTCTTGGGGCTCTGTTCTTGGGCCTTTCTCACAAATTCATACCGGAGATATTTCTTCCAGCCTATTTCCTGTTACGTCATTCACCAATTTCCCACCACTCTCCAAAAACAGCTCAAGATTTCTTTCCTCGGCATACTTCTATGGTCTACACCCACCCCCATCCAATGTACACCCAACCCTACTCTCCAGTGTCAGGTCTCAAACCTCGCTCCCTCCAGTCTGACACCGCAAGTTCACCCTCCTTTCAGAGCATATGGCTCTGTCCAGTTAGCTCCACCTTTTCCAGCAGGTTTCATCTCTGACTTTGATTCCCACTGTTAGGTGTCTATACAGGGTTGTGTTTCTCCTCCCAGAACCTTGACTCTGCCTACTGGCCTATTTCCCCAACCACACAAACTCCATTTCTTTTAGCTACAAACCAGTCTCAACCTGACTTATTCTATACATTATACTGACTTGTCCTTCCATGAACTGCCAACCTCAGACCTGCTGTGACTCATTATCACCAATGAACACAGTAAATACCAAGCCTCTGAACACCCTCTGAACACCCTCTGTGCCAGAGCCATAGCTGTGTCTATATGTCAAGAAATATGCTCAGGGGCTGAAGAGATGGCTCAGTGGTTAAGAGCACTGACTGCTCTTCCAGAGGTCTTGAGTTCAATCCCCAACAACCACATGGTGGCTCACAACCATCTGTAATGGTATCAGATGCCTTCTTCTGGTGTGTCTAAGGACAGTTACAGTGTACACATTACATAAAATAAATAGTTTTAAAAAAGAAAAAGAAAGAAATATGCCAAGGAAGGTAGGCACTTGCCACCAAACTTGACAACCTTTAGTTCAATCCCTTGGACTCATGTGGTAGAAGGTAAAAACTGACCCCATATTCAGCACGTGTGCATACACACACACACACACACACACACCCCGTTCCAGGCCAGAATAGTAGTACACTTAAAAGTTGACTATAGTTCCAAACTAGGCATCATCCTGCATCCAAACTCTACATTCAATAACCTTGACCCCAGTCATATGCAATGTAACACATTAAATTCTTCAGCTGTTGCCTAAAAAAAAAAGTTGACTACAAACCATTATCAGTGAAACTTATACCTGGGATGCATAGAGGGTTCAACACATATGCAAATCAATATGTATGCCACATTAACAAAATCAAAAACTAAAATTTTATAATCATCTTAATAGGCACAAAAAAAGGCAGACAAAATTTTATATGCTTTGATGATTTAAAAAAAAAAAGTCCTCTCAAAGAGGTATGGAAGAAATGTACCTGAAAATAATAAAATCTATATATAACAATCTCACCATCAAAACCAGACTCAGTAGTAAAAAGCCAAAAGCTTTTCCTTTAAAATCAGAAACAACACAAGAGTACCCATTCCTTTCAGTTCTAGACAGTGCATACAGGACCCAACCTGAGCAATAAGACAAGGAAAAAAAAAAATCCATCCAACTCACAGAGGAAGTTAGATTGTCTGTTTGCAGATCCCATTACAGATGGTTGTGAGCCACCATGTGGTTGCTGGGAATTGAACTCAGGACCTTTGGAAGAGCAGTCAGTGCTCTTAACCATTGAGCCATTTCCTTAAATATCAAAAAAAAACGTAAAAATCTCACCAGAAATTTGTTAAAATTAAAATGTAAATTACAGTTTTCTATATAGCAATTTTCTTGGAGTTAAAACCTTCTATCTTAGAGGGAAGCTCAAGACACAGGTGAAATACTTCACCTAGCAAGGAAGTGCTTAAACTCAGGAATGAAACAATCCAAAGGCTTCAGGAAGTTCCCGAAGCTGAGCAGACTCACTAGGCTCCTCTATCCTCCAAAATATATATGCAATAACAACTGCTAGAAGACACTCTCAGACAAAATGAGTTGCCTAAAAAAGCCTCAAACCAACAGAGCCATCAGCTGAGCCGTCTGGAAGAAGCTGAAACCAACTGAACAGCATAAAAGAACTATCTCCAACCCTTTAAGCTGCCTGGAGATTGTGCAGTGCACTCCAGGTTTCCAGTTTTCATAATTTCTCATGAATGCTAGGGTGGTGCGACTGTCTTTGAGTCCTATCTGCCTCCTGTTAATAACCCCAGTAATCTCCTTGGTTCACCAAATTGGACTCCTTACCTTGGTCTGTCATCAGTAGTTCCCTATCCGGGATAAGTAGATGTTTGTTCTTGTCTCTTCAAGGAATAGTGTCACATGGAAGCATTCCAGGCTGTAAAAAGACCATGAAATACATTATGAACCATCTAAAATAGAAATTAAGAAAATAATCTCATTTCCAATAATATCAATAAAGAATGAAAACGATAGGAACAAATTAAACCAGGAAGAGATCTGTAGACAGAAAGCTATAAGATATTTATAAATGACATTGAAAAAGATACACATAGATAGAAAGATACCATGAGTACATGGATCACAATATAGCTAAAGTGACTGCATTACCTAAGCTAGCTATACATTCAACACAATCCCTATCAAAAGAGACATAGCTGCTCACAATGGCACTAAGGAGGCAGAGCCAGGTGAATTTTGAGGACAGTTGGGTCTTTAGGGTGAATTCTAGGAAAGTCAGGGCTATAGAGAGATACCTTGTCTCAAAAAACTTAAAAAAAAAAAGAAAAAGAAAAAGAAAGAAAGCCAGTAACAATCCTGAAAGAAACAGAAACAAGTAATAACAATAACAAAACCCTTAAAGTTTGCATAAAACCACAAAATGCTCCAAATAAAACAATCTAGAGAAAAAAATGACATTACTTAAAAACTGGCTATCTTTCAACCAATAATGTTTTTAAGTATTTTCTTTTATATATGTACTATGCCAGAGGTCGTACAAATATATCCTAATTAGATTTTTTTTTAATAACCATTTATGAGACTGTTACTGTTTTACAAACTGTAACAGTGGGCCCGGTGTCATCAGCAATGGGCTCTAATGCAAATCTCCTAACCTCATACTCTAAGCCAGTCTCAAACAAGGTGCTGCGCCCAGGGTAGCCGCCCAAGGTTACCTGCCCAGGGTACCGGCCCAGCGTACCGGCCCATAATCCTAGTAACTTGGGAGGGTGAGACAGGAGGGTTGTGAGTGTAAGGTTGGTCTGTCTGGGTAACTTAATGAAGTCCTAGGAATTTTAAAGGGGGTGGGGGGAGTGGTGTGTGTGTTAAGATGCTATCTAGTAGGGCAGTGCCTGCCTATTTTCTATCTTGTACCAGGTCCTAGGATTAATTGGCAGAAGGAGGAGGGGAAAAGAGAGGAGGAAAGAGAGAGGGAGAAGGAATATGAATCTAAACAATGAATCCTCTAGCTTTTGTCAAATCTAAGAAACCCTGAAACCCACCTGTGTGAAGGAACTGTTGGGCTCTGTAATTAAGTCAGGAATGTTACAACTTGAACTAGCTGCTGTCAACGCAGTGTTAAAAATAGCTCTGGCCTGAGGCCACATGCTTCTGAAGTACTGGGGATTGCTTTGTCCATCATAAAGTAACCTTTACTGAAAAGCTATAAACTCCCTTCTCTTTCCAGGGAGAGCTGAGAACAAGCCCAGGATGTTTAAGACTTCTTTATGAAAATGTTAACATATAAAACATTTCTTCTAGGCCCCTTGTAAAGTACCTGGGAAAGAGGTATTTACATTTACACGTCCCATGACATGTTCCATGACAGGTGTTTATGTGCCTTTATTCGGTGGCAGACATTTTGCAGGGAACATCTGTCTTAAATACCCCCACACACACACCCTAAGTCATTCTTGTTAGCAGCTATCTTTCAGGTGAGAAGCAGAGGCTCAGAGCATCCCAAGCCTGGAATGTTCTTTCTATCTTTTCCCAGATGCTTCCACCACAGTGGCCATTTGCTCCTCAGTACTCTAACCCAAGACAAAAAGAAGGTGACCTTGACCAAGGTGCAGGCCACAGCAGCAACAAAGTATGTGAGCCCAGGGCAAGTGGCTTCATTTATTGAGAAACCAAGTGGCCATGCGTCCCTATCACCTAGGAAACTCAATACAGTAGTAGGGCTAAGAAATCAATGAGGTATAATAATCTGTGCCTTTAATCCCAGCACTGGAGAGGCAGGTAGAGGTGAGTTTGGAGCCAGCCTGGTCTACAGAGAGAGTTCCAGGCTACCCAGGTCTACAAGAGAGACTGTGTGGTGGTTTCAGTGAGAATGGCTTCTACAGACTCATAAATTTGAATGCTTGGTCCTCACTTGGTGTGTCATGGTTGGAGGAGGTTTGTCAGCAGGTGGGCCTTGGCATTCAAATTCCCACACCATTTCTAGCTAGCTAGTTCTCTACCTCCTGGTTATGTCTCAAAATGTAAGTAAGCTTTTGGCTACTGTTCTGGCACCATGTCTACCTGCCTGCGGCCATGCCCCCCACCATGATGGTCATACACTCTTAACTCTGAAACTGCAAGGAACCAACACAGTCTTTTGTCTATAAGTTGTCTTGGTCAAAGTATCTTAACACAGCAACAGAAAAGTAAATAGATACCCTGTCTCACAACAAGGGAAGGGTGGGATAGAGGGAGGGAGGTGGGTAGGAAAAAAGGAGGGGGAGAGGAATGAAGGGAGGGAGGGTGGGAGGGAAAGAAGAAAGGAAGGGGGTGAGGGAGGGAGGGAGGAAGAAAGGAAGGGAGGGAGAGGGGATGGTGGGAAAGAGGGAGGGAAGGAGGAATGGAGGGGGAAGGGCAAAAGGAAGAGACAGAGGAAAAAAGGGAAAGAGGGTAGGAGGGAAAGAAAGGAGACAGGGAGAGAGGAGGAAGGGGGAAGGGGAGGAGGGAGAAAGGAAGAAGGGAGGAAAGGAGGGAGAAAATGAAAGAAAAGGGGACAAGAAGAGGAGGATAAGAGAAACACCCAATAACTGAAAAACAGAAATCTGTCTCCTCTCAACCTGGGCTTCTCAACCTCAGACCCTGTTGATACTCTGGGTGATACAGTTCTCAGGGGTGCAGCTGCTGGGGGCATCATAGGGCAGCCACAGCAACTCTACCCTACATTTCATAGACACCAGTGACACCTGCCAAGTCACCATGACCAGAAATGCCTCTGCACTACTGACCGAGCATGGAGAAGTCTCACTCCCCTCCCCCATCCCGTGAGAACCAGTGCTCTGTGAAAGGTGAAAGGTGAAAGGGGAAAGGGGAAAGGTAAAAGGCAAAAGGCAGGAGCTGTAATCACCCACGGAGGACAATTACATCAGGTCATTTACTGCAAGGCTTCATCTTACATAGGCTGGATCAAGTTTTCAGAGTTCTTTTTTAATGTATTGAAACACATCAGTCAAACACAGACATCTTAAAAGGAAAAAAAAACAAAGAGACTTAAAAAATCCCTCGCTTATCAAGGACTTGAAAGTATTCAGAGTCAGTGATTACATTCTCCTAAACCAGGAGTTTGTTGAAAAATTAATTTAGCCATCCATACTTTGATCTTCTTGCAAATTATTTCCTCAGACAAGACCTAGCTTGTAAAGACCCGACAGGCTAGGCAGCTGTCAGATGGGAGCTAGCATCAAATTCCAGGTGTCTTGAGGAGAGGGAGGGGGCTTTTGCCCCCCACAAAGGGACTTTGTTGAGTAGCATGCCAAAATGCCACAGAGGGGTCCAATTTTCCAACAAAGAACACAGGATCAAACAACAATACAGCTTAGCTTCACCTTCAAAGGAGACCGAGCCCTGTGGAGACACCTCATTCTATAAACTGGCACTCATATTTCAGTTATGAATGGGTGTCTTGTGGACGGCAGGCTTATTTCTTCAATTCACTATAATAAGGAGGCTAGTCAGTCACTAGGAGGATAGTCCCCTCTCGCCGGGAGGAGGGTGTCTACCCTTCGGCTCATCTAATACAGTAGTTCCCAATCTTCCTAATGCTGCAAACCTTTAATACCGTTTCTGATTAATAACGGTTATGGTGACCCCCCCAACCATAAAATTATTTTCATTGATACTTCATAACTGTAATTTTGCTACTGTTATGAATTATAATGTAAGTAATTGTGTTTTCTAATGGTCTTAGGCGACCTAAGGGTTCTTTGACTCCCAAAGAAGTGGTGACCCACAGGTTGAATCTTTGATCTAATTGCTAACCTTTTAGGTACATGCTCCCAGTTCACCGTGAGAGACGAACCCTGCAGAAAATGTTCCTAGCTCCACCTATGCAAGTAACATCTGCAAGCTGAGACCAGACAATTGGCTGTATTTATGGAGGCACATGCTACTTTGTAAAACAGGCAGGAAGTTGTACCTCTTGAAACTGCTTTACTCCTAATTCCCAAACTTGTGAACACACAATGTACAAAGCAAAGATGATTCTGCTGGCTGGATGGCAGCTAAGGATGCTGACATGGGGACCTTATCCTGGATTTCCCAAATGGGGCAGGTCTAATCATGAGTCCTAAAGAGCAGAAAGAAAGAGAGGAAATTTGAAATGTAAATAGGGCTTTCCCCTTGAAAATGGAGGGGGTGTGTGTGAGCCAGGGAATCTATGCTGCCTCCATAAACCACAACTAGGAAAAGGGGTTCTGTGGTGGTTTGAATGAGAATGTCCCCTCAGACTAGT